CTTCCTTGGTAAGGCATTCGCTGTACAAGTTGAACAGAATTGGTGATAAACAGCATCCTTGTCGAACTCCTCTTCCAATCTGCACACTTCCTGTCTCCCCTCTGTCCAGTCGTACTCTAACTTTCTGATCCATGTACAATTTGCTGATCAATCTTCTTTCACGCCAATCAATACCTGTTTCTTTTAGGATCTGCATTAATTTGGTCCAGTTTACACGGTCAAATGCCTTCTGCCTGTCTATGAAGCAAACACACAATTCTTCATCTATCTCCCATTTTCCATCTCCTTTAAAATCTTAAAGGTTAAAATTCATGACTATCATTTTATCTTTTATGTCAAATGGAACTTGTTTTCCCTCACTCTGATGTAAGAACATCATGAGTGCATGAGAACAGGGTGCAGAGGACTGTGAGAGAGTAAGTAGCTGAAATGTTTAGATTCTGACAGCAGTGATATGATTTTAGGGATGTAAAGCTGTGTTGGCCATCTGCTTTTTGCTGGTTTGTTGCATAGCTTACATTTTAACTCTTGAAAATGGAGGCAGTACACTCCTCTGAAGCATTTGTGGTCTTCTATTTGAGTACACAGTGTTACAGCGCATCTGATAGTACTCTTTGGAAGCAACGAGAAAATGCAAAACATGTAATGTGGTACTTTAGTAGTCTTTAAGGTATGTAGGGTGATTAAATTATGAAGGGTGAGATGCATGTAACTTGCTGTCAGTTGCTTAACAAGAAGTACATACAAAATTATAATAAATCTCAAGAAATAAATTTACTTGAAGTAGGTAGGCTTTCTTAGGAAATTATATTGAAATGGATCTTGGTGAAATAGTTGTTCAGATGTGAAGTGGGTTGCTTTACCTCAGGAAAGGATCCAGTGATTGGCTTTTATACTCACTGTGGTGAAATGCTAGAGTGCATAACAGCATTGAGTGTATCTTTCAGAACTCCAGAGTGTCTGATGGAATTCCAGTTTCACATCAGAAGTAGAACCTTCAAGAACTCTTGCATGCTGCAAGTTATCAGAGTTACCACTTGGAAGATACAAGATAGATAGATACAAGATTTATGATTTGATATTCTCATTATTTTCTTCTGGCTTGAAATGCAATGTAGTTTGGTAGATAGGTGCCAGCATTTTGGAGGAAGTTCTCCTGCTTTCTACCCTGATGCCCCAATAGTGAAGGCAGCTCATTCCTGTGGAATCTTGTTACATATTTGTCAGATTACATGATGTCATATCTGAGGAAAGTGTAAGCTTAGTATTAAAATTGATTTTGTTATGTGAGCTATTTCTTGTTTGTTGTCAGTGAGGAGGCCAGATCACTTAGCCCCATGCTGCTGAATATCACCTCTCCACTCATGACAAAGCTGAAGGTATTAGTTGCTGTAGGTGAGCATGACTCTCTGCAGTTCCAGCGGCAGAGCTGTGAGTTTGCCGAGGTGAGGTGAGAGGCAGGATGATTTTGTGTGCTTAAGATGGTTGTGGGCATGGCCTTGATCCTGATGTTTGTCTTGAGCGAGTAAACAAAATCTTGGATAAATCTCAGTCAGAATCATTAGCCTCAATTTTTTTGATGTGATTACATGAAAACAGCAAAAATATGCCTACTAGCTGTGTGTCTGGCTATTGATTCACTTCTATACATAATGGCTACAGAACTGCTGAACATATTTTCATGAAATCTGACATTTGGGTTAAGTTTTGCTAAAATCTATTGATATGTTGCAGTTTAGGTTAAAATTGCATGCCAGTACAGGACAGTGTATGAGAACCATAAATTGCTGAGTATGTACTGGGTTAAAAATGCTTCAAACAAAAACTGTGAGAAAAAATGAAGCAAACATTTTATGTTGAATACCCTTATTCCATACATCTTAGTGTTTTTGATGTACCGAAAAGAAACTGAATGCTCTAGGATTGTTTCATACATTTCATAACTTATTAGTTTTAGAAAAGAACGCTTTGCATCTGCTTCTGAGTTGGACAAATTGCTGCTAATCACACCTGCTGAGTATTAATGCACGATATAAATACTGTCTCTCTGAAAGCATTTCCTTTTTTACTTCTTTTGGCTTGTTTTGGACTTCATCCATCGTCAGGTATGTAAAAGACAAAAGACCACGATGTTTTGGAGACTGGATCTGTCTCCGTCTTCAGGTGGGTAGGGAAGGATAAACTTACTCAGTTAGGCCCGTTAGAAAGAGCTAGTCTCAGTCACTGGATCCAGTCTCTGAAATGTCGTGGTCTTTTGTCTTTTACATACCAGACAATGGATGAAGTCCAAAACAAGCGAAAAGAAGGGCAGTATACACCATCAGAATCCTTTCAAGTCTATTTCCTTTTGATAATTGATAAACCTGTCTCTTGACAGTCCTCATCAGCTGATATTACCTGTCTCACAGAAACTCAGACATCATGGCCAGCAGGTGGACTGTGTGACAGTGTCTGGGGTGGATCATTTTGACATTGTTGAAAATCTTCAGCAACAAGATTTCACCTTGACAAGAGCAATCACAGGACTTGTTACAGGAGGACCAGCATCGGTGCCCAGACATAGCTGTGACACCAAATATGCTCTTCAGAGCAGTGCTTGTAGCAGTGGAACCTCATGAATTTCAAAACCTGGTACGGCAAGTGAAGTAAAGGATACAAGAACATGGCCCATCCAGGTATACCACATACTTCCTGAATACAAGTCGCCAGTGTGCTCTCAATCATGTCAGTAAGTCCAACTTTATAGCAGTTAATCTAATATAGAGAGGGTCCTGAAAGTTATTATGGGTCTGTATTTGCTTAACCTTTAAAAAAACCGAATCATAGAAGGGGAGCAGCTGCTATCTAATAGCAAGAAGGTGTGGCATCCTATACAGATGACAATACAAGATACACAATAACTTCATCACCGTCACAGGCTGCGTCATAGTTCAAGTGGATAGAACATGCACCACTTACACGCGGAAAACCACCGCATATCATGTGCACATAGTAATTAACATTTCGCGGACCGGTGACTTAAATATTTAAATCACCCTGGGGACCGGCGTTTTTAAACCTTCTACCCTAACTTGTGCACTGTTCACTTTAAAAATTAATATAAAATCTCCTAATTAATTTTATGAACTGAAATTTTTGGAGAAGACTTACCAGAGCTCCTAGAAGTGCTTCAGAGTGTGATATTTCTGGAAACAATCCCCTCTGTGAAGAGGCATGACGCAGAACTTGCAGACGTAGGAAGTCTTGCTTCGCTTCTTGTGCACAGTGCACACACGGCACTGCCTAGAAGGATACTTCCCCGTCGATTGTTCGCTCATCACAATTTTCATGAGGGTATGTTTCCGCATATCACCCAAGGGTCGCCCAGGGGGGTCCATATGAGGCCTCTGTGGGGTGGGAGTAGATGGTGTCACCACGTTTCAGGGATTTACATTCCTCTTTCAGATCTGGAGGAAGGCCTCTGTTCACCCTAATTGTATCACAAATACATACTTTCCTTGAAAGTAGGTATTCTGCAGTTGCCACACTGTTATAAAAATTATATTGATAAACGTGATAATTTTGATCCGGATAGGGATCCAAAATGGAAACAATAGTTTCTTGCAATTTCTTGCCTTCACTGGAATAAATTTCTAAATTTCCAATATAGCCTGAAGTACAATATTATATTTAAGCATCCTGTTACACTCACACAATATATATGAGACAAACTCCGTCTTAAGTGCAACAATTTAATTGTAGTTCTTTCTTCTTCCCTTCCTCCACACTACATGTTTCGGCCCTAAATGGCCATCATCAGGTGTATTCTTACGTAGCTGCTACACTGCCCGTAGTTTAAAATTTAAAATCACCAGTCTTTCCAATTGTATGTATGTATAAAATCT